CCCAGCCCCCAGCCGGTCCTCGGCGCTTGGGAAGCATCCACTCAGATGCTGAGGTCAGTCTGCGTGTGAAGTGAATCTGGGTTTGTAGGCCCCATTCCATTTCCCAGTTCACAAAAACATCCTCCACTTGCCCTTCATTTGACTTCTCAAATTGCTTGCTTCCCGAAGTATTGGATGACACTTTGTGGTCTTTTTAAAAGATTTGTTTTCTAGTCAGGCATGGTGGCTTGGGGACACCGATGGAGGAGGAACACAAGTTCGAGGCCAGCCTGCAGGTCCCAGCAATCTTCCTGTCTTTAACCTGCTCAGGGATGCAGGGTTACTGGGATGCAGGCTGCTCTTCTGTCCTCTTCCCTTTCCTCTCCCCTCCCTGTCCTTCCTCTCTTGTCACTCAGTCACACTTTTCTCATACAGTTAAGAATCCTTTACCCTGCCCTGCGGGGGACATACGGGTTGTCTGCCGTGGCTGCGTGTGAAGGTGGATCAGAAAGGCTGCGGGTGAAGGTGGCTCTGATCAGAACGAGGCTGAGGAGCAGGCACCTCTGGCCTGGGGCTGCTGGGGTCCTTTGTGTGTCCTGGAGAAGCATGGCTGAAGAATGCCTGGATGAATGAGGAGTTGGCATCAGCAGAACTTTGAAAACAACCGAGTTTCCTTGACACTGTATACCTTTGAAGAAGGGAGAAGGATGTTCCCGTCTCTGCCCACCCTGACGGTCCTCATCCCGCTGGTCTCACTGGCAGGCCTGTTCTACTCCGCCACTGTGGAGGAAGGATTCCCTCAGGGCTGCACCAGCGCCAGCAGCCTGTGTTTCTACAGCCTGCTCTTGCCGGTCACGGTGCCAGTGTACGTGTTCTTCCACCTGTGGACCTGGATGGGGCTGAAGCTCTTCAGACATAATTAATGCAGCCGTTCTCACCCCCCACCCGACCTCTGTGATGAGCCGCCCTTGCACAGGGCCTTCCTGGACATTGGTTCTGTCCTCAAGGGCTGCAGATTCTGATGTCAGTGCTGTAGCAGAGTAACTTTCAATAAAATGTCTTGGGCGAGTGGAATACCAGTGGTCTTTATCCGAAGACTATTTCTTCTCTTCTTGAGCTTTCATTATGTGTCTGGATGTGGGTATGTGCACATGAGTGTGGGTGCCCAAAGAGGCCACAAGTGACGGGGTGCTGGGAGCTGAATTTGGGTTCTATGTAAGGGTAGCAAGTATGTGCTCTTAACCCCTGAGGCCTCTCTCAGACTAACTTCAAACTGGGGGAAGGATGGCCTTGACCTTCTAACCCTCCTGCCTCCACCTCCTGAGTGCTCAAATTATAGGCAAGCACAACCACATCTGTATGATGCTGGGGAAGGAACCCTGGGCTTCATGCATGCTCAGCCAGCACCCTCCCAATTATCCAGCCCCTAAAGACTATTTTTTTCCATTCATTTAAATATTAGTCATTTGGAAGTTGGACTTTGTGGCACATACCTTTAATCCCAGCACTTGGGAGGCAGGCTCCATGAGTTTGAGGCAGCTTGATCTACAGAGTGAGTTCCAGGTCAGCCAAGGCTGCATAGTGAGACGGTCACAAATGATAATTTGGAATTTTGTTTCAGCTTTTAGGTCAATGGTAAAGTCTTAGGGATGACCACGAGGAACTGAATGGAGTAGTTGTCAGAAATCCATTAGAACTAGTGTGATAGATAAGACTGTCAATATCTGGAAGCTGGGAATACTAATTCTTACCCCAGTTCTGAGTTTGTGGCTGGGCAGAAAGCTCAGCAGTTTCTTGCATCAGCTGCTCTTGAAAAGGACACAGTTCAGTTTCCAGTACCCATGTTGGTGGCTCACATGGTGGCTCACAACTGCCCGTAACTCCAGCTCCAGGGGATCTGACTCCCTCCTTGGAACTCTGGGTACCTGCACACATGTGGCATGTACACACACACACACACACACACACACACACACACACACACACACATACTTTTTTTTTTTTCGAGACAGGGTTTCTTTGTGTAGCTTTGGAGCCTATCCTGGCACTCGCTCTGGAGACCAGGCTGGCCTCGAACTCAATCCGCCTGCCTCTGCCTCTCAAGTGCTGGGATTAAAGGCGTGTGCCACCAACCCCCGGCCCACACATTTTTTAAGAGAAGAAAAGTCTTGACTTTTTGGTATCAGGTGTTAACAGGTTGTGGAGGGCATAGTCAAGATGAGGGGCTGCATTTCCTGGTTCTTGGGTTAAAGGAATTGAAATAAAAGCCCACACAACAGATTTGCAAAGTTGCAAGGAAACTATTCAGAGCAAAGCTATAGCACAGGCATGCAGACGTGAGCCTATGGGGCTGTTACTACTCAACCACCACACCTGTTCTCCCAGCCGGAACTCCTCAGACCCTCCTCATAGCTACCTGTGCTTGCAGCATCAGAGGACCTGCTTCTGCAAGCACTGTGCTCGGTTTGTAACACACACTCCCCAAACACAAAGTCTTGGGGGAAAAAGGAAAAACGTTCTTGTGCTTTGAAAGTCAGTCTGCCCTTGCTTGAAGGCAAGTTCAAAGAATGGGTGAGGAAATTGTGGGCTTGACCTGAACTGGCTTTCTCTGTTCCTGATGCCATAGTGCACCTTTCCCCTCCAGTAATAATAAAAAAATATTTACTTGAAACATAGTCTGTGTAGCCCTGGATAGCCTGGATTGGATATATAAACCAGTCTAGCCTTAGACTCAGAGATCTACCTGCCTCTTCCTCTGGAAGGCTGGGATTAAAAGCATGCACCACCACACTGGGCCTTTTTATTCTTTTAAATGACACTGATGGGGATTCAAGAACCCAGGGCTTCTTGAATTCTAGGCAAGGACTTTGCCAACTGAGCTACATCTCCAATTCCCATCAGACATTTTTGCAGGCCTTTAGTAATGAAGAGTTGGTGTTTTCTGAAGGGTTATTGGTCGACCTAATGACCTCAGGTAAGCGAGTGAGAAACTTGAGACATGAAAATTGACCTGCTAATAACATTTGCAGGTAGTTAGGAGCTGGGGCAACGCCTTCCTCTGTATGCACAGCCTAGGGAAGCAAGATGGGATGTCCACCTAAGTTCCCTTTGAGCCTCTATGAAACCCCACGCCCCCGACCGTTGCCCTTCATTGTTCTGATTAAAGGACAGTCCGCTTCTGTGGAGCTCCATCTATATTTTCACGTCTGCTCCATCTATATTTTCACGTCTGCTCCATCAATCCCAATCCAAAGTTTTCAGCTAGTTTGAAATGGACAAAGCATCCTCCTGGTTCCTGATAACACAGGCGCTCTATGGATACCATCACAACCTTTGCGTCACATACGGCAGAGCTAATGGGACCACACTCCTTAGTGATCTGGAAACAAGCGCAGGGCCCGCCAGGTGTCCTGGTAGCCAATGAATGAAATTCTAGTAGTGAGGAGGAGTTGGAGGCCAGCGCTAGGCTATATAGGCACAGTCCTCTTACAAAAAAGGGAGAGGCAAAAGGGGCAGGGAATTGGGGGTGTAGCCCCATTGGTAAAGTGCTTGGCTGCCATACTCTAGGTAACATCTGCAACACAGCATAAACCCAGCCAGGTCTGGATAGTACCTATAATCCCAGCACTCAAGAGGCAGGAGTTCAAGTTCATCCAGGCCAGCCTGGGCTACATGAGACCCGGTCTCAATTAAAAACAGAAAAAAAGCTGGAGAGTTTACTTTTGTTTCTCCTTAGCCGCTCCAATCAGTTTGAGATCCTAAACTTAGGAACCTAGGACCTAGAGCGTGATACATGAATTTATGCCTTGTCTTTCCCCTCCGCCCTCAGGGTGAAGGGGCGGGGCCGAGTAACTGACCAATGAGACGCGCCGCTGGAGGGGCGGTGCGCCGCCTCGCAAAGCCTCTGGAGAGACTGAGGCTCTAATTCGGGTGGGTCTGTCCCTGTAATTGCCGCTCCGGCCCTCTACCTCCCTCGGTGCCCTGCTGGGCCCAGAAGAGAACCCGGAACCTGGCGGTGGGCGACTCCAGGACCTTCTGGGCAACAGGATGGTGAGTACAGCCGGAGATGAAACAACTGTGCGTGACACCGCAGCCTTGCGTCACTCTCTCGGGAGTCTGCGCTGAGTTTGCTGTCTCTCCCCGCCCCACGGTTCCCACTGCTTGGCTTCAGCCGTGCTCCGCGGCGGCTCGGCCCTGGGGTGGGCGGGGCAGCAGCAAGATCCAGGCTGTGCGGAGTGCGGGAGGAGCTGCCGCCTGAGCGTCCCCAGTCCATCCCTGCTCCCAAAGTGTGTGTGTGTGTGTGTGGGTGTGTGTGTGTGTGTGAGTGAGTGTGAGTGAGTGTGTGATCCCTGTGTGTGTGTGTGTGTGTGTGTGTGAGTGAGTGTGAGTGAGTGTGTGATCCCTGTGTGTGTGTGCAAGATCCCGGGTGTGCGGAGTGCGGGAGGAGCTGCCGCCTGAGCGTCCCCAGTCCATCCCTGCTCCCAAAGTGTGTGTGTGTGTGATCCCTGTGTGTGTGTGTGTGTGTGCAAGATCCCGGGTGTGCGGAGTGCGGGAGGAGCTGCCGCCTGAGCGTCCCCAGTCCATCCCTGCTCCCAAAGTGTGTGTGTGTGTGATCCCTGTGTGTGTGTGTGTGTGCAAGATCCCGGGTGTGCGGAGTGCGGGAGGAGCTGCCGCCTTAGTGTCCCCAGTCCATCCCTGCTGAGAGAGAGAGAGAGAGAGAGAGAGAGAGAGAGAGAGAGAGAGAGAGAGTGTGTGTGTGTGTGTGTGTGTGTGTGTGTTTCCCCCTGTGCTGTTCAGATATACCGAAGCTCTCAAATTAGAGACCCCGTCCCAGCCTAGCGTCCCCAGTCCATCCCTGCTCCCTAAGTGTGTGTGTGTGTGTGTGTGTGTGTGTGTGTGCAAGATCCCGGTTGTGCGGAGTGCGGGAGGAGCTGCCGCCTTAGCGTCCCCAGTCCACCCCTGCTCTCTCTCTCTCTCTCTCTCTGTCTCTCTCTGTGTGTGTGTGTGTGTTTCCCCCTGTGCTGTTCAGATTTACCGCAGCTCACAAATTAGAGACCCTGTCCCAGCCTAGCTTTTCAAATTCTGCTGCCAACTAAGACCTTTGTTTCCGGTTCTCCTTTTCACATCTGGAAGAGATGTCCTTTATCTTTTTCATTTTTCATCCCCCTCCCCGCCCTCACTTACTCAATAGGATTTCTACTCCCATCAGTGGGAGGTTTAAGTGGTGCTGGGGATTGAACCCGG